ATTATGTTTGTAAGCAGGGAAATATAATTTTGAAAACAACCAGCCTGACATCCATCTTACTTTTTTCCTGGAAATCTTTTCAGATTCTCATTCTTGTTTTACCAAAAGGCCATTTCCACTAACTTTTTGCAGTGTTTTGGGCTGATCAGATTAGTTGAACAGAAGCCTAGAAGGCTTTGAATGGGAGGTGGGAACATCCTTTGCAAACTCCCACTCATTGTTTTGGTTTCCACACTTTTCCACAGAATTTCCTTTTACCTCAGCTCCCCACCCACCCGGCCAGCCACCCACTCACCTTGGGATATATCCAGTTAGGGCTGGTGGAAACTGTAATCTGATCATTCCATGGCTGATTCAGATCTTACTCGGTCTAAAGCATGAACCAAGCCATCAATCTGTGATTGTTCTTCACTGAGGAGGACTTGCTTTCCTGGCATATTCCCCCCAAAATTGTGCCAAATACAGCTGATTCCCATTGCAGATGGCAGTCTTACCTTCAGAACAATCAAGTTACACAGTAAAGCCTTCTCTCCCTTCTTCCACTGTTTTTGGAATTGAAAGCAACCCAGCTGTCTCTAAGAATAAAAAGGAAAACAAATATAAAAATAAACCACCCTTATATTGCAAGGAGTAGGGGAAATTGGCCACTTTTTAATATTAGAAATTTCAAACATATGATGAACTAATTTATATTTTCATTTTGACATTTTCCTTCTCAGTGGGAGGGCAATTAAGCCATATTTTAAGCCCATTCAAAGTGGCCTTATTCTGAAAATGTTGTAGTGATATCTATAGAATGCTTACCACCAATCAGCAGAGCTTAAGGATGCAGGAGTGCCTAGTTCTCCCCTCCCTAGACCACCTGACCCAAGGGTCACTTGAGATAAGGACTTCCTCCATGAAAACTTGGGGCTCCTACTGCCCTCCCTGACTCCCATCTTGCTCAACTTCAGGCTGTTTTTCACAAAGCTAGCAAAGGGATCTTCCTTTCATGCAGATTTGATCCTGCCAGCCATCTGCTTGAAATAAACTTTCAGTGACTCCATATGAACCTCAGAATTAAGTCAAAACCCTAGTATTAGCACACTAACAAATTTTCTCTTGATCTGACCCTGCTCACTCTTCCCTACATCAGTCCTGGTCTCTTCTCCCCGTGTGCACCTGCCTGAGACATATTAAGCCATGTTTTATCCCAAGTTATGCCTCTCCTTCTCTCACTGCCAGGCATTTGCACTCACTGCCCACTCTGCCTCGAAAACTTCATTGCGTCTTCTTCACCTGGCTCATGCCTTCCTTTCCATTTTGACTTCCAGTCTAGTTACAATCCAGTGATTCTGTTTTTGCCATGTTAAAATATGGCCAAAGATAATTTTATCTAAAACATAGAATACTATGCATGATTTTCAGTCTTACTGAACATATTTCATCTTGCACATTTGTCCTTGTTACTCAGTGAAAACACATTAAAATTCTGCAACAATCCAACCTTCATCTTGACTAAATTGCTGAAAACTAACCACGAGCGGATGATTCTTTTCATGTGTGATGGAATTTTCCACTAATGTGTCTACTTACTCTAGCCACATCCACGTGTCCTCTAGTCATGCCCTATCAGATTACACCCCTGAAATAGCAATCCCCTACACTTCCATTGTTTTATTTTAATTTTTTAATCCCATAATTGAATAGATTATAAATCTGAATTGCCTGTTGAACAAAACAGAGTTATAATCTCAATTGTAGAGGAGGAGGTAATGATGGCAGATGACATGAAGATATTGTGTGGTTCACCTAACATTTCATGATGTTTTGGCACAGAAAAGAGTAGAAGTATCAATTTTGGATATTATTTTCAATTCAGGGGTCTCCTGGTTTGGGAACTAATAGAAGAAAGAGAATTAATCCTTTGTCTTGCAAGCTAATAACCTTGAAGAAAGATGAGTTGCAGAGCAGTGAGCCCCAGACAGTCAGTAGCCCTTCCCCCACTCCACTGACTGGCTCCATTCTCTTACTTTGGAATATGTCTAGTTAGTGTTGGTGGAAACTGTGTAATCTGATCCTTCCATGACTGGTTCAGACTTCACTGGATATAAAACATGGGTACACAGTTCAGCTTGGAGTCTGCCAGGTCTTTGCTCCCATTGAACTTGCTATGAGGACATCTTTTGGCTCACTCTACCCTTTCATGTTCTCCTTAGTGGAATGTCACTTGCCTGAAATAGCTTTTATGTGACTTGCTTTTTGGTTGTTTTCTCCAGATCATTACTCCTTTCCTTTGAGACTTGAATTTAATCTCAGTAAATTGATTGAATTTTATTTTTCTTTTAAGGAAAGCTCTTGTCATCACATCCTCCATCACTTTATCATTCCATATTGTTGTGCCTGTTATTCATGTCACTAATATGTTGGCCTCATTTTTCATTGCTATTTTTTTCTTTCAAATATTCAAATAAAATTAACTCTTTCTCATTGCTTTCTTAATTAGCGATATTTTTATACAAATTTATTGAAAGCCACTTGATGTGGTTTGGATCTGTGTCCCCACCCAAATCTCATGTCAAATTGTAATCCCCAGTGTTGGAGGTGAGGCCTGGTGGGAGGTGTTTTGATCATAGGGGCAGTTTCTCATGAATGGTTTAGCACCATCCTCTTGGTGCTGTTCTTGTGATACTGAATGAGTTCTCATGAGATCTGGTTGTTTAAAGTGTGTAGTGCCTCCCCCCACCTCTCTTGCTCCTGCTCCTGCCGTGTAAGATGCATCACTATCCCTTTGCCTTCCACCATGACTAGAAGCTTCCTGAGACCTCCCCAGAAGCAGAAGCTGCTAAGCTTCCTGTGCAGCCTGCAGAACCATGAGCCAATTAAACCTCTTTTCTTTATAAATTACCCAGTCTCAAGTATTTCTTTATAACATTGCAAGAATGGATTAATACACCACTTTAATAATTCCAACACTTTGCCAGCTTACTCTACTAGTAGACAAAAAATATAATGGATTAGGTCTTTCCCCCACTTTAAAAGAAACTTTGATTAATAGAACTTAGAAAACCTGGGCAAAACCAGATGAAAATGTCCTATGGTTTTTTTTGTTTTTGTTTTTGTTTTGTTTTGTTTTGTTTGTTTGTTTGTTTTCAGTGTCCTGGGAACAAAATGGTCCCTGCATGTTTGATGTAATGAATTAGGCAACTAATTTAGGCATAGGCAGCATGGAGCAGGGCTCTGAAGGGGACTTTAGTACTTCAGAGTGGAATTACTCTCAGCAAGTTACATAACAGTGTGAGCTTCAGTCTTTATTAGTCAGATATAATTGTTGGGAGCAGGAAATGAGATGACACCTAACATGGCACCTTGTTATCTTCCTCTCTAGTCCCTCCTCCCCTACCTTTTCCACAAGTGTTTCAGCTAGAGTTAATGAGAACTAGGTGATAAAGCCACAAACACCATCTTTGCTCTCTCCAATTCCTCCAAAAATTAAAAATAACGAGAAGCAAGTGATTAACCCATGATTTTTTTTTAATGTGTGTCATGTAGTAAGTAAATAGTATATGTAAATGATGAGGATTTGTTTGACCCAGGAATGCAGCTTTTATAGAAAATTACTGTGCAATTGGCTAATCTGGAATTGCTCCATATTTTTCCATTTTGATTACCAAATTTGGAATTGAATAGAGTTCTGTCTATAATCATGAGAAACTCAAAAACAGGAAGATGCTACTTTCCCTGGCGCTTTGTTATTTAGTTCTACTGACAGCAGATTAGTCAGTCAACCCTTAGGGAGGATGTTTTCCACTAAGAAGCAGACTCGGGAATGCCTTGGCTGTTTTTACAAACAAGCTAACCCAATGGAAATTCATTTTTGAGTTGACGAATCCTATAGCACACTCATTTTAATTGTGTTTTCTTACTAGGATACTACTTTGAATTATTTACTTTTCAGCCTCATTTTTGACATCATAAAGACATGAATGTCAGGACACTAGGGAGATCCAAGACTTGATTCTTACCATGGGACTTGAAATAATTTTGATGAATTCCATAGACGAAACATAGGTAACTCCTCAACTAGACATGTAGAATTTCAGAATTTCAAAGAGGCTTAATAATCTCTAGTCCAGTCACACATTTGAAGCTTAAATTTGCTTCAGCATATCTCTGTCAAGTGAGATTCAACTCTTCAGTGTCCTCCAGATAGCTCTATTAAAAAGTTCTTCCTTATTTTAAACCCCATAGCTTTCACCTTGGGTCTAGATTCTTTTATGGACATAGAAAGCAGTTCTGCTCAAACCTACGAAGGTACAAACTTCTTGAGGGCAGGGATTGTATTCACTACAACTTCTAGTAACTTGGTAAATGATTGTTGAATGAATGGAATTAATAGCAGACGATCTTCTCTATTTTGGGATATTATCTTACAGAATGGCAAATGAACATCTTATTTAAGTTCCATTGAGAAAGCATCATATGAGAACTGATTTTATTGTTTAAATGCTATAGCTGATTTTTTATTCTTTCAATCTTACACTTCAAGCGCTTTTACCTGTTTATGTTATTATAGTATACCTCTACTGTAAAAGAATATATTTAATGACTCTATAGCTATTAACTATTGAGTATTACATGTGCAGAGCATACTGTCTGCGACTTGATGCAGAGAAGTTGAAACCCCACTGAAGCCTGTATTAGAAGTCCTGGGTTCTAACACCAGCTGCACCACTAACATCTGAATAACCCTGGACAGGTCACTCAGTCTCTGCAGTTGTTGACTCCTCATCTGCAAACTGCAAGGGTTGAACCAAATACGCACTCCAACTTCTTTCCACCATCACAGATTGTTTCTGTTCTTGACTTGTCTGTCCTGTGTGGTAGACTATCACAGAGACAATCAAAGAATACAGACCTCTGATTTCCAGTTCAGTTCTCAAATTGTATCGTCAGTAACTATCTACTTATGCACATTATTTAAAGCTAAGTCTGCTTTCTTTTCCCCTCTCTCTTTTCAGAATACTTTTCTTCAGGAGACAGTGCGTAGAGAATGTGAAGAACGCTTTGAACTGACAGAAGCTTTGAGTCAAGCCAGAGAACAGCTCCTGGAACTCAGGAAGCTTCGTGGAAGTTTACCATTCTCACCGTGTTCCCTCAGCAAGGGCAGTCTAACCTCCCCTGCTGCAGCGGTCAGTAATCATGGAGAGAGAAGCCTTGCAAGACTGAACTCTGAAAAAGGAATCCAAATTCCCAGCCTGCGCGGAGTGTCAAAACCCACCACTTTCCCAACCTCAGATAAGCCCAAGAGGGTTGGCAGCTCAGGCTTGCCCATTCTCCCCCAGCCACATCCTCCCAGGGGTGGAGCATCTTCAGCAAATGAGACTAGACAGAGACTGGCTGCCATTCTTAGGAGGAGGCGGAGTCAGCAATGATCCAAAGTGAGGAGCAGGCAGCTCCCCACAGCGTGCACGCTCTTTCAGAGAGTGCCAGGAACTCACTGTAACTGAGAATGACAAAGATAAAATTATTTTCACAGATCAGGAAGGCATACCTATAGATATATTTAACAAAAGACTGTAAAAAGCTGGAAAATTGTGAAGCCATATTTTTCAAGAGGGTTTTGATAGAGTAACAGATAATTAAGTTGTTGGTATTCCAGGGGTCTGATTTCTATATTTATGTTGAAATGTGCTCTATGAATATAGCCTTTTAGAGATCACAGGTAAAATTTTTCACCCATAACATCTTTTCCATTTCTTGCACCACTACAAGCAGATATATTTCCACAAAAAAAAAAAAAAAAAAAAAAAGATTGCTTGGGTTTTGTTGGTATGTGTTCATTTGTTTGTTGAGCTGAATAGGTTAAATCGATGTAATAAGTATTCCAAACAGAAAAAAAAAAAAAAAGTACTTTATCTAATTAAAATTAGATAATCTCCAAAATGCTTAGTTCAGGTAGTTGCAGAGATCATCATCATAATTAAAAGCTTCTTTTCCTCACCTTACAATCTAATTGGTTAATCTAATTTCTCTTTAGGCTAGCTCAGAGTTAATGATAGATAACCTTCAGGAAGACAATCTTCTCTGAGTGACTGGGGACCTTCTAGAAAAAGAGATGGTAATGTCAATTCAAGGAAATAGTATTTTATTTCTCAAATTATATAGATTATTTTAGTAAACAAATAACCTGACCATATTGATAGATATTTTCTACAATGAGTGCTTTTTGGTACTCAGAGTTAGGTCTTTATTTGGCCTTGTATTCTCAAACCATTGGGAAAAAAACTAATTCAACACAGTTTAGTAAAGTTAGAGGTAATTTGGGATTCAAATTTTATTACCCCTGAAAATGGGTAACTGGTTAACATATTTTCTATTTTGAGTGAAAAAGTAAAACCAGAAGCCAGATCAGCTATTTTATCTTAAACCTGCAGACACCTCGTTTCTTAAAACACAACTCTTTACCTTAGTCTAGTGTTCGTCTATGTTTTTCTCCATCTAATAGAAGGGTATTTTCCTTCAAAAACTAACTTTACTTAAATACTCCATCTGACTGCATCATGAACGTCCAGCCTTCCTATTCCCATTTTGGAATAATGGTAACACATTCAAAATATGCTACATAAAAATCTCTGCTATTTGACCATCTTATTGACCAGAGAATTCAAAGATATTTGGGATCCCTTCCATGTGCAAAAGATGTAAAGTTACTAAACAAAATCAAATTTATTTCCAGTCTTCCAAAGGATTAGTCTACTCTATTAATAAAGTATCTTAACCTCAAAAAAATTCCACATTAGGTCCACTGATTTGCCTGACTAGTTTAAGTATGGTATCTTGTGTTAAGAGTTGAATGCTTACTTTTGTTTTGCAGAGATTGGCATCCCTTGTAATGGCCTTTGACAAGAGAGTACAACATCATTGAAGAATGGCACTGGGTGGATCTTAGAAGTCACCCCAACTGTAATTTTACAGATAAGGAATAGATGCCCAAAAAGATTGTAACTTGGTTAAGGTAGTACAGTTAGTTAGTGACAACTAGAACCAGAACCACAATCACCTTACCCCAGACTTTCCACCTCACTGGAGCTTTCCAAGCCTCCATCATGACCTTTGTCAATAGCACTTACACTATATGTGGTTTATATTTTTCCTAAATGCACTTACTTTTTAACCTGAAATTTATGTAAAAAGTAAATTTGACTCAAGAAGTAGCTATAATGAGTTTGATTTGCTGTTTTTTTCTTATACACTTTGAAATAAATGTGTATCTAAGAAATGTTGGCTGGGCACGGTGGCTCCACGCTTATAATCCCAGCACTTAGAAAGACCAAGACAGGAGAATTGTTTGAGCCCAGGAGTTCGAGATCAGCCTGGGCAACATAAGGAGACCTTGTCTCTACAAAAAAATAATAATGAAAATTAGCCAGACATGGTGGTGCTTGCCTGTAGTCCTACCCACTTGGGAGGGTAAGCTAGGAGGATCCCTTGAGTCCAGGAGGTCAAGTTTGTAGTGAGCCATGATTGTGCCACTGCCATCCAGCCTGGTCAAAAGAGTGAGACCCTGTCTCAAAACAACAAGTGTTAGTCAGTGCACCCTCTAAAATCATCTTGTATAATGCCAACAGGTGACCACTGCACTGGACCTTAGGGGTCTCTGATCTGTTGCTTGCATGTTTAATTACAAGTACTCATGACATGAGGAAAATGGCAAAATCTAGTGAAAACTTTAGTGAAAGCACAAGAGATTATTGTGTGCAACACTCTTTGTTACAGGGTTATACATGCTTTTTACAGTCTTGCAATTTCCAGCTCATGGAGATACAGTGGGTCTGTATCTTCAGGAACCATGGGGATAAAGTAGGTTTCTTTATTTTTTCTAAATTATGAACATATTTAGATTTGTAAAGTCACACATAAGCTTTTCTAATGGTGATGTAGAGTATTATTGCAAAACTTGATTTCTCAGTTTGCTATTACATTTTTGCCTTATGAGTACTTCTATAAATAATCACTCTCAGAATAGAATCATGATCTGCAATGAGGTTGTATTATACTCCACAAATATATCAGAGAAGTAATTCCATGAATAAACATAAAGGTCATATTAACATTTATTTCAACCTAGACCATTTGAATGGTGCAGACTAAGCTATGTTGCCTTTAAAGAAAGACATCTTTAACAACAACAACAACAGAAAAAAAAAAAAAACAACCCAGCATTATAGTATGTAACCTACAGGTTAGGAACACATTCAAACTTTTCTTGATTTTCTCACTGATAAATAAGTTCCTGGCATGAGACAGTTATAAGGAATCTTAGGAAAGTAGTGAGTAGGATGAAAAAATAAGGCTCCAAATGCATATAATGGGTATTTAGTCTAATACTTTTAATTTCTCCATGAATTGATGTTTGCCATGACTTGTCATGAAAGGATTTATAGGTGTTAAGAGAAAAGATGTCAAAGAAAATATTCCTTAGAGAATTATAACTCTCTGGTTTTCTTCTTAAACTGGTATTCATTGACAAAGATAGGAGAATTCTTCTAAGTTAACATAGATTCCTCAAACAGTTTTTTAAAGTCTTATTGAATTAAATTACTATATTTGTAGTTGGTCAGAACTACTTAAAAGTCACATTTGCTGCTAAGGGAATTGACTAGAAGAGACGCTAACACAAAATTATGTAAGACTAAGATCTTTTAATGTTCTGTTACTCCGAAAGTTTTTGTAATATTTAAGATCGATTATTGCTAATTTATTTGACTATGGAGCTAGCTTTCTCAAGTTTTATCTTTTTAAATTCTTATGACTCTTACACTATTGCATTCATAGATGAACCTAGTACCCTAAAAGAGCTAACACACTACAACTGAAAATGTTTAACCATTGCGTTGCAGCTTATGGAGCACAGGAAGTCTGTTTGGTATGTGCTCAAAATTCACAAATGCTATTGTGACTATAGATTATTAAACTTTTTCATTTTCATGTTTTAGGAAAATAATGTAGACCATCTCTTACAAAGGACACCTTTAATGGTCCCCAAATCATGATAGACAATTATGGTATCATTGCTAAGGTTGTATCAATGGTATTCTCAGGAAGAATTTGACTTTTCTGCTTGAAAATATTAACCCTGTGTAATAACATGTTGTAAAGCCAATACTATTGTATTGCATTTTTAGACTATTAAATATAAATTATATCATCTTTCTATATTCTGAATTTTACATATAGAATTTTCTTAAGAACATAATAGATGAATCTGGGATATACTTTTCTATGACAATATTTACCATGATCTAGTAAGTCAAAAGATATCCCTCTGTTCCAACATTTATATAGCATAGTGCTTTATATTCATCAAGTAAAAAAAATTACTAAACATCCCTTACTCCATAAAAAACTATGTGAGAATACTGAGTCACAGTGATTAAGTAATTTGCCCAAAATAATAATAGTTTAATAAATAATTTTAAACTTCTGCAGTTTCTGAACATCTTAATCCATAGATTAATACTGAATCTACATTATTTATTCACTCATTTATTCAACAGATATGAGGAACTGAAAAAGTACTGTGAGAGCTGCAAAGAAAATTAAAGCATCATACAGATTCCCAAGAATTATACAGTAGAGGGCAGGGAGAAAGCACATATAGAAATAAGACTATACAGCAGAGGATATTGGGTAAAAAGAGAGTTCACAGCAAGGTGTTATGTGAATTCATCTTTTTGCTAGAAGAATCAGGGAATACTTTAAGCAAGAATCGGCATTTACAATGGATCTTGAAGAATAGATGGGATTTATGGAAGAAGGTATACGAGGTAGAAGAAACATGTAAAAAGAGTCACAAATTCTGTTTATGGGAAATGTAGGAAACATTTGGTGAAGGGAGTTAGTGGGAACCTGAAAAAAGTAGGTGGACCTCATTGATTAAGGTGTTGAATAAGGACCCACCGCAGGCTTTCAACTAGAAGTGACATGTTGTGCATTGTTGAAATTCGGGAATATTTCTCTGGCAGGAGTGTATTGGAGTAATTATGAGATAGAAAGACTGGAGATGGGACACTAGTTGGTGGACCAATACAGTAGTTCAGGTAAGAGTTAATGAAATTCTGAATAAAGATATTGATATTGGGGATAAACAAGAGGCAACTGATTCAAATTCTATTCAGAGAAGGGAAAGGATTTGTTCCCTGTTAAATGCTATTTAAAACCACTACCAGCCATTGCCGCTGTAGCAGGGGTGCGTTTTATGAGATTGGCTCCAATTAAAGGATCAGCCCCTATTTAAGAATATTATAGCTTCTCTGAAAAATGTGAAATAATAGAAACTACATTTTTATTTAGGCAACAAATAACCCCACAGACTCCGTATTCATTTAAAAAATCTCCTTAAAGTTAAAGGAAAATACTAATCTGAATAAATGTCCTAAGAATTATGCAGAAAGACTGGAAATTGACCTTAAAGAGAAATAACTATCTTGGCTCAAAGAATGCAAAGTACAACTAACTGGGAAGCTTTGGGAGTAACACAGCACAATAAAACCTTTTATTTTCAATAACCATTTATGAGGGAAAATAAAGAAGATAGCAGCTAACATAAAAATAAGAGTTATCTTAAAAATCTATAATTTTATAGTTCTGAAGGGCCTGATATATCACCTGGTCCAAACCTGTAATTTTACTGTAGACAATAGGGTCCTCAGATGGCCCTATCTAGTCACTTAGTGACTAGAATCTGATTTTTAATAAGATCCTTAGGTGATTCGTATACTCATTGAAGTTGAAAAAGCCCTGCCTATGATGTTACCACTGGCCCTGGCATATTCCACTTTTAAGAGCTGTGTATTAGTATTGAACAGAAATAGCCTTGCTGTACTCAGTTCCCTTATGTTTAACTGAAACCTGTGGTACACTGAGACCCACCCCCATAGAATGAACTATTTAACACTCTGACTCCTAGCACGTGCAAACTCTACTTCTTTACCCATTGATTGTGAATCTATAACTCTCCAGGGAAAACTTGTGAATTAAAGAAAATCAATATTCCTTCATAAAAATGTTAAATATTTTATACCAACACCCAAAGCCCTGAGTCTGAAAAGAACTTTGTTTAAAAAAAAAAAAGTTATTAAAAAAAATGCTAACCTATGTACCAAGAAAACAATACCTTTCTGCTTCGTTCCTCTGTTTTTTACTGGGTGCCCTAGAAAACTAGTTGATACTTAGCAATCATTTAATGGATCAATGGATGAATACATTTTGCAAAATAAAATTAATAGGTTAAATGTCAAAAAATAATCCAAGAGAAATATTTTGGTTTTGATCATAAGCAGCTGAATAATCCTAAAATTTAATCTCCCAACAGCATGTATTTGGAGATCTGATTCCCAAAAGAAAATTGGTAATGCTGGTTGTCTTTTGAGGCTTGCAAAACATAGAATGCTTAGATAACTTACTAAAATTATGAAGAAAATATGACAATACCATTATTCTCCCTGACAGTAGTTCTAAATGACTTAAATGTAACACTTTAACTTGCAGTATTACACATAGATGGATTTATTTCAAAGGTAGAACTAACAGTGTCTGAATGAGAATCTATTTAGATTCTCAATTTCAAAATCTATATTTAACACAATGAGGCATTATGCTCACTTGTCTGTAAGGATTAAGTCAGCTCATCTCATGACACCACAGGGTGGCCATCTTCTTTAATTTTTTTTAATTTAGAAATAATGAAAAGGATTTATTTTGTTTGCCATTAAAAAGCTTTTGAATACCTATTATTAGCATATTTAGTCCTAATATTTAGTTTGTATGGTTATTTGTTATTACCATTAATAATTCTCATAGTTAATAGTTCAAACCAAGAATTAGATAGATATGTAATTTAGAATATTGAAGTATTTTTAAGCAGAGCCTTTCACAGGACATTTTTGTAAAAAGACTTAGCACTGGAAATATATTTGCTACAAAACATGAACATCTGGCTTTGCATCGTGCCCCATTGCCAGATTTATCTACTTTTGTCCCAAGAGAGCTTGATATGGCCTAACACATTAATCCAAAGAGATATCTTCTGTCTTCTTAAAAGTGAGTGCGTTCTACAGTTGTCATTTTCTATCCAGAACCTTAAATTTCTGGGGAATTAAGGTTTCTGCCAAGATTCAAGTGACTGCTATTTTTCAACTGATTTAAAGCAGCATTTTTTAAAACCCAGCACAGCCAAGTTTTCATTCACTATTACCAGA